CAACATCTGTTATCTGAAATACTTCAATTTGTATACCATCTATTCCTGGGGCCTTATTTTTTGCTATTTCCTTCAAAGCAGCTTGAACTTCTTCCTTCTTCACCATAGGCTCTTGCTCATATGTTATTTCATTAAATTCTTCTGTATCTGCCAATTTCTTTCTATACAATGACTCAGTGACCTTACTGAAGAAAATTTACAGCTGGCAAATTTGGCTCCCTCTAGAGGACTCAGGTGTAGTTGTAGAAGGATAGCTTTCTATTTCTAGGAGTCACAGTCATGCGAAGTTCTTTTACTGAAAAGGTCTGTTGGTGTAGTACATAAAGTGCATAGCATACTGGACTACTAACTGACAGGTACACAGTTCCAATCCATCAAACGCTCCTCCAGAGAAACATTACAGCCTCAGCAGAGGCTTGTAAAGATTTACAGCTGTGTAAACCTGGGTATGTCACTACATGTCAGAACCAACTCCATGGCAGGAGAGTTTCAATTATAGAAAACTAACTAGGAGTGCAGTACCTTCATTTCCTAGAGATGTCATCAAAAAGGACCATGAACTGGGTATCTTGAAGCATCAGAAATGTATTATTTCATTGCTCTGAAGGTGTGGAGTCCAAACTCAAAGTACTGGTTAGGTTCATACCATCTATCTTTTTTCTCTTCCAGCTTATGGAAGACACAGGTATTCCTAAGCTTACAACACAGCATCACTGTAATCTTTGCCCCGTCTTCAGATATTTCTTCTGTGTCTGTATCTCTGTGTGTGCTCTCCTGTCTTAGAAGGACATTAGTCATACTGAATTTTTTTCTATGTACTGAACTAAATCTCTCTGCTGTCAAGTTAGAACTGGCCCACAGTGCCATTAAGTTTCTGAGGCTATATATTTTAAGGGAGGAAATTGCCCATATTTTTCCCCACATGCTGCTAGTTACAATTGTCACAGATGCTTGGCCTTTGGATTAGCAGCACAGTTTGCTCCTGACTGTATTACCAGATATCCCTCATATTGCTGTTGGACTGACCCTCAGTGTGTTTTCAGAGGCAGTAAATCACACATGAAGAAAGTGACCATCTTTATCTTGTGGAGCTGGTAGATTTGAACCACATGCCTTTGGGTTGGCAGCACAACTCCTTACTACTGGGCCACCAGAGCTCCCTTACATTGATTTAGGGCCACTGTATTCTAGTTGCACTACTAACCCAAAGGTGACATTCTTCAGGTGGTTCAAATTCTGCAGTGGCTCTGCAGGAGAAAGAGGGCAAACTGCTCTTATGCGGTTTACAGGCTCCTGAAAAGTCCACTTGAAGGTCAGTTATGAGTCACTTCTGACACGACAGCAATAAGTTGCTAGTTTATTCTAGTAAAGAAATCCCTATGGCACAACAGTTAAGCACTTGGAGGCTAGTCCAAAGGTGAGCTATTTTAACTCCTTGAGACAGCTCTGTTAGCTTAGTGGCAGGGAGTTGTACTATCAACCCAAAGACATGTGGTTTGAATCCACCAAACAGTCAGCTATGAATCATTTCCAACTCAATGGCACATAACAACAACAGCTACTCCATGAGAGAGTGAGTGGTGATCTGCTTAGGTAAGGATTATAGCCTTGGAAACTCTCTGCACAGTTCTGTAGGGTTATGAGTTGGAATCGATCCTATAGTGATGGATCTAGTTTACTTTCTTTCTCTAGTATTAGCTCTTTGCTTACTCCAGTATTAGGTCTTTCCTTACTCCAGTATTAGCTCATTAATTTAACTAAACAAAGTCCATATTATTTTAAATAAATCTGTAAAAATCCTATTTCCAAATAAGGTCATATGCACAAGAATCAGCACAATTCAACAGTCAGGAAGCTTAAGATATTGTCACAAATGACAGACACATAGTTCAATGGAATAGAATTGAGAACCCAGAAATCAGCCCATCTACTTATGGTCAACTGATTTTTGACAAGGAGATGAAATC